ATTGATCGGTGAAAATTCAAAAATGACACCTGTTGATTCCGAATCGACAAGAATCAACAAACAACGCACAACATATACACATAAAGTATCCTTCCACGCTAATTTAGAATATAGGATAGTCACAAACATCAGATGGTACTCGAAATATTTTACATTTAATACTGTAATGTACTCAAAGATTTGAATCCGAAGGCTATGAAAATTTAAATGTATAACTGGATTATCTTGTTACACTGAAGTAAATAGTATATGATTATAAAAACTTTCCCTTATAAATAAATCTTTTTCGACAACCGACTTCTAACACTATTCTGATATTCAACTTGGATCGTCCAATACAGTTAACTCACCATCCTTCCATTCACGTTTAAAACCCTCCGGAGCCAATCTCTGTAGGGTCTGTTTTATTATATTAAAGATAATTAACAAAAGGTATTCGAATGATGAAGGCTGCATAGTGAAAAGTTTTGAGGTATTATATTCCCCTTCGAAAACCTCTTGTAACCTATTACGGTCTGAATTTATAGCTGTAATCTATGTTGATAGCATTACATTTTAAACGTGACTATGTATAATTGTGTATAGTAACGGTTTAATCTCTTATAGTGACTCTTTTCATTTGGCACAAGTGGTGTGATAAATCGTTTACATAACGAATAAGCACTATGTAACTATATAATATTTGATTAGTACACTGATGCTCTATATCAAATAATCACATTGTTAGGAGAAACAAACTGCTTAGCTATTGCTATAATGAATTTCTGGAAAAGATATCATTAGTAGCGGTTTAGCATTAGCATGAGTAAGCATTAATTTTTTTTTGTTTTAGTTTGTCGTTGAAATTTTTATAAGTTAAAGTAGTAATTAGATTGATTTGTAGAAATTTTGTAAAAATAAATTTCAACTAAGGAAAAGATTTAGAAAAGAAAAAAAAACGAAAATTATTCGATATTTCATAATTAAGAATAAATATTTTAACTTTTGTTTTGACTAAGCTAATAAGTTCAATAAAATCACGATTTTATTTTTAAAACAAAAAATTGAGTGGCTAAACTATTTATAACAAAGAATCCCTATCAGAATAATAGCAATTTTTATTTTAGATCCCATATAAGATCATCGATTTACATAAGAAGCACAATGCGTTTTAAACTTAAAAGCAGTTTTTTTAAAAAAGAAGACTTTTTGCTTCCGTAATAAATAAAAATATTAAAGTGGTAAAACAAATAAAACATCAAGAAGACAATACCAAAAAGTATCAATTATAAGTTTTGAAAAACCAATAAAGGAAATTTAGAAAAGACAAATATGAAAACAATAATGTGTTAAGTTGCGATTTGGATCAAAGACTACTTACTTCTCATACTCAATCAAAATTTTTAGCCATAAAGACAGTCATTTTGGGATCAGGGTTAGGAAGAGAATAACTTGAATCAGGCGCAAGTCCATGTTTAAGTTTTTAATCATCAATTGGTTCTTCGCTTCACAGCAAAATTTAGCCACCTTTGCTACCTTTCCAATAATTTGTAAACCTCCAAGAGCTTCTGAAACACCACAAGTAATTCCATCAATAGCTGCATCTACACCTAATTCTCGGTACCACTTTCCAAGATTTCATTATTAGTAGAGTTGCCAACAACTTCTGTCGCTGCTCCAACAGCTATGGCACTAGCAGTCATTGAAATAATAATAGGAGCAGCTGAAGTAAAAAACTAGCCGCGAGAGCAATGGTGCCAACTTTTTTGACTACCTCGACAGCTCTTTCAACTCCTGATTGACTACCAATTTTTTATATTAAATCGTGAAAGTAAAAGAACACAGATTAAAGAAAATTTTCGAGATCGAAATGATCAAAAGAAGATATAAGTTATTTGCAAAGAAATGTGAAGACTTTAATAAATACTTGTTATTGTAATATAAGCAACAGCAAAGTAACATACTCATGACTTGATTAATTTTAGATAAAGTTAATTGACAAAGCATTATACGTGATTTTAGCTATCCTCATAACATTTTAGATATGATCAATATACAAATAGTGATAGGTTGAGATGATGCTTACCATTATTGCAGTGATGTTAAATCAACCATGATAGATTAAAATAAAGACTCCATACGTACGTATGTATCCACAAGAATTGTTCTCCTGTAATTTTTGATCAGTCGAATTCAAGATCTAATGTAATATAATACTGTAAAACTCGGAAAATAAGCACCCTCATCATAAATAAGCACCATCAAATAAACTTTAAATTGCGTTATCCGGTGATCACAAAATTGATCAATCATGTTGTCTGTTTTCAAATAACTAATGAATAAGCACCTCCATTAATTAAAAAAATGTTGCTTATTTTCAGTAGTTTAAAAACAGACCTGTTTTGTTTTCTAAGTAAAAAAAAAAAAAAAGTCGGATAAAATTAAGGCTAATAAAACTCGCTGTATAGGTCAAGGTTAGTAAGACTTAGTCTGCCAGTAAAATTTCACAAAAAACAGGTTTAATTAAGCCGCAGAAGGTGATTATTTAATGAAAAAAAATTTTTTTCCTTTGTAGTGCTTCAACGTACACCATTAGTATGACTCATCCTCCACGTGATGGCTTAAAATCACGCCTCGCAGTCTTGTGTCACAAACATACGTATAAGTACTATGCGTACAGTACAGCAGTACGTTGTGACGGAATTTAGCTGCTAGCTTTTCCATAAAGATACTATGAATCCTTTAAGAATTTGTCACATGATTTTAATAAAAATATGTGGAAATAATGTAGAATTTTTTCTGTCAGTTATTACAGAGTACCGCCGGATAATACTTGTCACAGATGATCATAAAATCGTATGGTAAAATTTGGATCTATTTTATTGTTAGCTTTTTTTTTTAATGGTTAACTTAGGGTTTAAGGTTAGAGTTATTAATATAAATGTATAGGTGAATTTTAGTAAAACTTATATTTTCAAACTGAGACCCCAAATTTCATTATCATCTGATTTCACGATCATCCGCGACAATACTTTATTGTATGATTTTCATGGATTACTTCTAATTCATGATACACAAATTTGTTAACCTATCGTATGTGAGCGAAACTTGTTATTACATATTAGAAATGACCCAAGATACAAAAAATAATTAGGCGCTAGTAAATAATCAGTTGTTACATGGCCAATAACCAGTACGTATTATTTTTGATTGGTACCGTATTTTCGCATAATAATGCTTACCTGCACGTTATTTCGAGTACGCGCATGTGTGTTATTTTGAGCTAAAGACTTGGTCGTCTGACATATGAAAACATTGATTCAAACATGCACATTATTTCGGGATACGCATGGGTGTCACATACTTCTTATTTTTGGATGATATGATTGAAATAACACGAGTAATATTACGCGAAAATACGGTATGTGATTTTTATAAATGGAATAGCGAGATTAGTGTTCAAAACTTTTATCACTATATTGAAAAAAAATGTTCAGCCAAGAAAAAAATAAAAATAAAAAAATAAGTAGATGTTCATGTATAGCGCAAATTCTAATTGTAAAACATTTAATAAAGGGTATTATTTCTGTTTTGACAAAAAAAATCGCATAAAAAACTATCAGTCAAAGCATGATTTTTTGGTTCGAGTATTTTCTTTTTTGTATGTTTTTCTACATACATAGATGTTCAATAATACGTACAATGTTACTGCCCAATCATATTTCAGATATCGATCATCATTTCACGTGATTACGTGGATTTCGGAAATTTACGGTATAGGGGGTACGAATAATAAATCCAGGGGGGTATAAAAACTAGCCCCCAAATTATATTATATATAATTTTTATTTGTTTTTATTGTTTTATATATATAAAATAGCTATTGGTTTTTTATATCACGTAATTGCATAATCAAATGTAATCTTATGTAGAATCAGACTAGTATAAATATCTTGAATTCCAACTAATCAATTCTATTTATTCGATCCAGGATTTAAAGATATATAAATATTACGTTTCATGTACTTGGGAACAAAGCTCTGACTATTCTTGAGTGACCAATCAGAATTCTGGTTCAAAGACTAACATCCAAATATGATGTACTCAAGTTTAAATTATTTAAAGCTAAAATATAGTACGAAGTTTCTATTGTATGTTTGAATAAATGTGCTAACATATTAAAGTTGATACTATAATGCATTTCCGGAATAAGTATTTATGCTCCGAATATTTGTATAGCAATATGTGCACCTATAATATTTAGTTATAGTATGTATTAAACTATATTGATATGTTTTTTATCTACTTACAGATGAGCCATTAATTCTTGAACACTTGGCTTTACTAGTGCTATCCAATTTATTAAAAAATAGGACCAACATATTTATCATTTTCAAAATATTTAGGATTCATAAATGCAATCCATCTATTTTCTTCACTTCTTTTGTATACAACTTGAAAAACTTCATATTCTATTATAGAAAATTTTTTTGCTAATATGATATTGCCGAAATTTGATGATTTGGAAGTGCATGATCCACGTTTATTAAAATTATTTGTCATGTGTATATCTTCTTTACCAAAGCAAGGACCTAATTTTGAATCATCTCTAATTGCTGGTTTACGTTTTTTAACAAAACTGAACTTGGCATTCTGAGAATTTTTACAAGTTCCAAATGAAAATATGAAACTATCTTCAGTGTATAAATATTTAGTATCATCTTGAGACCAATTATCCCAATCATCTTCACTTCCTATTTCTTGATATCCCCAGCATACCGGATTGTATCCACCAATTATTTCGCCTGAATTTTTGACTTTAATGATTACAATTGTTGCCCCTTTATTGTCACAGAGTTGATGAAATACTTTAGATGTAAATCCATCACGAGTAGCTCTCAAAAGTAAATTAAGTTCACAATAAATTTTAGCTAATGTTAATCGCTTAATTTTCGGAATTTGGCGAATAATCATAATTGCTTGTAATGGTGTAATAATGTTGGATTCAAAATATTGTAACTTTGGTTGTCTTGGTTCCAAAATTTTATTAAGCCGTAATTTTAAATTATTCTGAAAATTTACTATTTCTTTTCTTAACTTTAAATCGATAATATC